TGCTGAACCTCATGTTAGTAGCAATGACAAAAGCAGCAATGGAGTAATATAGCTCAGCAGTTTTGAACCTGAACAAAAGGTTTGTTTTTTACTAAGATCAAGATGAAAGTTTGATTCAGTTCCTCTTCTCTGTGAATCATGTCTATTCCAAACAGAAAAGCTTATGGAAGCCATATACTGTTTGAAAATTTGTTCTACAAAGAGCACATTCATTAAATTTCATTTTTATAAATAAAATAAGCTACCTGAATGCCATTTTCTAGGCACCTAGATATCTCAACACATACACACACAAAACCTCACAAAAATTTCTCAGACTTGGTCAGTATAGTAACTTTCCCATAACTTCTTCCCACAATTTCATTTAGAATGGGGCTCTGTTCAGCTGCTAATGGCACACATTATATGAAACAGTTTATCTTCTAATTTACATATTCTTTCAATTTTGAGAATGGAAAAAAAACACAATTAATTAGCACATTAACTTCCTCTTTTTAATCATATCATAATATCTCATCAAATCAGGCAGAAAATACACTAGCAAAAATACACACATACTTTCTGAATCATGAAATAAAGCCAAGTAATTTGTTATCATAGAAATGTAGAATGGTTTGGGTGGGAAGGGACATTAAAGATCACCTAGTTCCGACCTCCCTGACATGGGCAGGGACACCTTCCACTAGACCAGGCTGGCCAAAGCCCCATCCCACCTGGCCTTGAACACTTCCACAGATGGGGCATCCACAACTTCTCATCCACAACAGGGCAACCTGTTCCAGTGCCTCACCACCCTCATAGTGAAGAATTTCTTCCTTGTATCTAATCTAAATCTACCCTCCTTCAGTTTAAAGCATTACCCCTTGTCCTATCACTACATGCCTTTGTAAAAAGTCCCTCTCCAGCTTTCTTGTGGGCCCCCTTCAGGTACTGGAAGGCTGCTGTAAGGTCTCCCCAGAGTTTTCTCTTCTCCACGATGAACAACCCCAACTCTCTCAGCCTGTCTTCATAGGAGAGGTGCTCCAGCCCTCTCATCATCTTTGTGGCCCTCCTCTGGACTCACTCCAACAGGTCCATGTCCTTTTTATGTTGGGAGTCCCAGAGCTGAATGCAGTACTCCAGGTGGGGTCTCATGAGAGTGGAGTAGAGGGGCAGAATCACCTCCTTCATCCTGCTGGTCATGCTTCTTTTGATGCAGCCCAGGATACAGCTGGCTTTCTGGGCTGCAAGCACACATTGCCAGGTCACGCTTAGCTTCTCACCAACCAATACCCCCAAGTTCTTCTCCTCAGGGCTGCTCTCAATCCATTCTCCGCCCAACCTGTATTTGTGTTTGGGATTGCCCCAACCCATGTGCAGAACCTTGCACTTGGCCTTGTTGAACTTCATGAGGTTTGCACAAGCCCACCCCTCAAGCCTGTCAAGGTCCCTCTGGATGGCATCCCTTCCCTCCAGCATGTCGACTGCATCACACAGCTTGGTGTCACCAGCAAACTTGCTAAGGGTGCACTCAAACCCACCACCCATGTTGCTGACAAAGATGTTAGACAGCACCAGTCCCGATACTGACCGCTGAGGAACACCACTCATCACTGGTCTCCACTTGGGCATTGAGCCATTGGCTGCAACTCTTTGAGTGCAACCATCCAGCCAATTCCTTATCCACCAAGTGGTCCATTGGTCAAATCCATGTCTCTCCAATTTAGAGACAAGGATGTCATGTGGGACAGTGTCAAATGCTTTGCACAAGTCCAGGTAGATGATATCAATTGCTCTTCCCTTACCTATCAATGCTGTAACCCTGCCATATTTGGCTGTAACCCCACCAGACTTGTCAGGCATGATTTGCCCTTAGTGAAGCCATGTTGGCTGTCACTAATCACCTCCTTATCTTCTGTGTGCGTTAAGATATTTTCCAGGAGGATCTGCTCCGTGATCTTGCCAGGCACAGAGGTGAGACTGACTGGCCTGTAGTTCCCCGGGTCTTCATTTTTTCCCTTTTTAAAAATGGGGGTTATGTTTCCCCTTTTCCAGCCAGCAGGCAACTTCATCCACTGGTTCCCTCAGGACCCGCAGATGCATCTTATCAGGTCCCATGGGCTTGTGCACCTTCAGGTTCCTTAGATGGTCTTGAACCTGATCTCCTACAGTCCCTGCCTTTGCCTTCTGCAACTTGGGTGGTATGGCTTGAGCAGCTGCCAGTGAAGAATGAGGCAAAAAAGTAATTGAGTACCTCAGCCTTCTCCATATCCTGGGTAACCAGGTCTTCCATTTCCTTCTGGAGAGGGCCCACATTTTCTCTAGTCTTCCTTTCACCACTGACATACGTACAGAAGTTTTTCTTGCTGCCATTGATGTCCCTGGCCAGATTTAATTGTATCAGGGCTTTAGCTTTCCTAACCTGATCCCTGGCTGCTTCGACAATTTCTCTGTATTCCTCCCAGGTTACCTGTCCTTGCTTCCACCCTCTGTAGGCTTCCCTTTTGTGCTTGTGTTTGTCCAGGAGCTCCTTGTTCATCAATGCAGGCCTCCTGGTGGTTTTGCCTGACTTCCTCTTTGCTGGGATGCATCACTCCTGAGCTTGGAGGAGGTGCTCCTTGAATATTAACCAGCTTTCTTGGGCCCCTAGGGCTTTATCCCATGGTACTCTACCAAGCAGATCCTAAAGAGGCCAAAGTCTGCTCTCCTGAAGTCCAGGGCAAGGAGCTTGCTGTGCACCCTCCTTGGTGCCCTAAGGACCTTGAAGTCCACCATTTCATGGCCACTGCAGCCAAGGCTGCCCTTGAGCTTCACATTCCCCACCAGCCCCTCCTTGTTGGTGAGAACAAGGTCCAGCATAGCACCTCTCATTGGCTCCTCTCTCACTTGGAGAAGGAAATTATCATCAACGCATTCCAGGAACCTCCTGGATTGCTTATGCCCTGCTGTGTTGTCCCTCCAACAGATATTGGGGTGTTTGAAGTCCCCCATGAGGACCAGGGAGTGTGAATGTGAGACTGCTCCTATCTAACTATAGAGGGCCTCATCCACTCAGTCTTCCTGGTCAGGTGGCCAGTAGCAGACCTCCACTACAATGTCACCTCTCCCTGCCCTCCCTTTAATCCTGACCCATAAGCTCTTGGTCAGATCCTCATCCATCCCAAGGCAGAGCTCCATGCACTCCAGCTGGTCATTGACAAGGGCAACACCCTCTCCTCCTCTCCCCTGCCTGTCCTTCCTAAGGAGCCTGTATACTTCCCTTCCATATCATAATTGTTATCACAGAATGACAGAATCATTTAGGTTGGAAAAGACCTTTAAGATCATCCAGTCCAACCATTAACCTAACATTACCAAGTTCACCACTAAACCAATTAAGGGTAGAGCAGCAATTTCATGTTTCCTGGCTTGGTGGCTGGATTATTTATAATGAAAGTAAAAACTAGGAATCAATAAGATTGGAAAGGATCTCTAAGATCATCAGTCCAATCATCAACCCATGATCAACACCACTATGCCCACTAAAACATGTCCCAAAGTGCCACATCTACCCATTTTTTGAACACTTCCAGGGATGGTGACTCCACCACCTCTCTGGGCAGCCTGTTCCAATGCTTGACTACCCTTCCCATGAAGAAATTTTTCCTAATATCCAATCTAAGCCTCCCCTGGCACAGCTTGAGCACATTTCCTCTCATCCTATTGCTAACTACTTGGGAGAAGGTCTGAGACCAACACCCACCTCACTACAACCCCGTTTCAGGTAGTTGTAGAGAGCGATAAGGTCTCCCCTCAGCCTCCTCTCTTCTCCAGGCTAAACAACCCCAGTTCCCTCAGCCTCTCCTCATAAGACTTGTGCTCCAGACCCTTCACCAGCTTCGTTGCCCTTCTCTGGACATGCTCCAGCACCTCAATGTCTTTCTTGTAGTGAGGGGCCCAAAACTGGACACAGTATTCCAGGTGCGGCCTCACCAGAGCCGAGTACAGGGGGACAATCACTTCCCTGCTCTGGCTGGCCACACTATTCCTGATACAAGCCAGGATGCTGTTGGCCTTCTTGGCCACCTGGGCACACTGCTGGCTTATATTCAGCCAGCTGCCGACCAACACCCCTAGGTCCTCTTCCACCAGGCAGATTGCCAGCCACTCTTCCCCAAGCCTGTAGCATTGCATGGGGTTGTTGTGACTGAAGTGCAGGACCCAGCACTTGGCCTTGTTGAATCTTATACAATTGACCTCAGCCCACTGATCCAGCCTGTCCAGATCCCTCTGTAGAGCCTTCCTACCCTCGAGCAGATCGACACTCCCACCCACTTTGGTGTCATCTGCAAACTTACTGAGGGTGCACTCAATCCCCTTATCCAGATCATTGATAAAGATATTAAACAAGACTGGCTCCAAAACTGAGCCCTGGGAACAACCATAATTGTTAGCATGCTACCAAACATAGTCATGACAAGTAAATAAAGATTACCTGTTGAAATGTCTTTCTCAGCTAGTTCATATTGCCTCAATCCATTATAGAAATTTGCCCTGTTAAAATACACTGCTGCAGAGAATGGGCAGAGACAAATTGCCTTCTCAAAGTCTTCTTTTGCTTCTTCAATATTGTTTAGTAATGTGTTTGTAATAGCACGATTCATAGCAGCAGATTCATTTCTTGGGTCAAGTTGTAATACCTTGGAATAATAGCAATAGGCCTACAAAACACACGAATTGGAGACAAAGTACTCTGTTAAAATTTGAGGAAATGGCTTATGTACAACTTGTAAATTCCAGTTTGCTTCTTTAAGCTGTTTGTATTCTTAAGTCTTTACTCATTCTGTTGAGCCTTCTTTGTGCACAGAAAAGAGAGACACAGCACCAGCATGTTTATCAACAAATAGGTTGATCACCACCCAGATGGACTTTTGAAAAATAACAGCTGTATATGCTGAATTGTAATTATAGCAGAAGAAATATGCCACACACTAAAGCCAACTTGAATTAACACAGAAAACAGTTTATAATGCAACACCTATTCTTGAACTTCTTTCTTCATAATTAGATAGCCTCTGTGAGACAGTAAGTAGTCACAGAAACAGAGTAAAGAGGAAGAACAGCCTATGCAAGGCCAGTCATGGAAGAATGATACCAGGTGCATAAGAAAAGAGATTACATGATCACAGAAGAAGCCATATACAGGGCACTGACCTTGGACTCCGAAGGAATTTCTGGTCCAAGTCTAACTAATGCTCAAGAGCAACAAGGAATCTAACTCAGAAAAACATGCAAGAACATTAAATGTTTTTCTTACATGATCTTTTTCTTGTGCTTTATGAAGTACAATCTGGGTTTAAAATCATATGCCAGGCCTGTACTATACATGATGAATTCCTTAATAAGTGAACTGCAAGCTGAAGTGTTTACAGATGCAACTCTAGGAAAGAATTAATTCAAGTAGATGAAATGTGCTGAAGCATCCATGCTGGTTTTTGGTTTCCACAGCTGCTTAACCACAAAGCTCCAATCAGATAAAAGCCTGAGCCTACGCCCAGGAAATGTGACTGGAAGACCAAAGGAAAAATCATTGCAGCAGCCTCCTCACACAGAGAAAAATAAATGGTCCTTGCCTTCAAGAAGATTTCAAATTCTCTCACAAGAGGAATGTCCATATCCAACTCTTTTGTATTTGAAGATACCCACCATATTTAAGCAGAATTAGGTGATTTAAAAATCCAAAGTTACTGTGGTAACAGGAGGAAGATCTGACTTCTTGATTAAAGTTCATCAGCGGGAAATTCTTTTCATTCTCCTTGTCATGGTGCTATAGTAAATCTGGGCAATTTATTTAATGTATAGGAGTTAGGCTGGGGGGGGGCGGAGTTACTAAATATCAGTGGGATTTTGGTATCTCAATTATTTACAAATTTTTGTGATGTGTATCCTAGCTGTCATGAATCTTAGTTCATTTATATTAATGATAAAATACATCATAGTAGGGCAATTATTTATTATTAATTACTACAGATTAATTCATCTCCTGGTAGAGGATCATGAAATTCAATGTAAGAAAGCTTCATGCTAATTATACTTAAAAGACAGCTTTATACCAACAGTACTTATTCAAGGAAAAAACTTGTGAAGACAGTATAAAGACAGATTGTAGACTTACCTGTGAAAACTGTCGATTATGGAAGTATATATTTGCTGCATTGAAATAGGCTAATGCATAGTTTGGGTCGATAGAAATTGCTTGTTGATAGTCCTTCATGGCACAGGGTAGATATCCCATTAACTGATTGATGACACCCCGATTTGTTAGCAGTGGAGCAGTGGTAGTGAGCTGAAAGAACAATGTAGATGCATTCTTACACTGGGAAAATTTACATTTCTACAGTAATTTATTCTGGTTTTCAAAGACACATTTACTCTAAAAAAAAAAGATTGAATTGCACCTTCTAATCCAGATTGGCAGCTACTAATATACAGTATTGGCTGGCTTCATATCAACAGGTTGATTTTAGTAAAATCACTTTAAGCTAACATCTACCTTTAATGCGGCATTTGTGTCTTGCAATGCAGCAAAAGTTTCACCCATTTGAAGACAGACTGAAGCTCGTCCATCATATGCAGCACGACATTTTGGATCAATGCAAATGGCAACTGTAAATTGGCTCCATGCTCTTTGAAGCTTTCCAAGGGCCTAAAATGAATTGCAATGTGTCCACAATAAGAAACATAAGAAATGCCAAACATACTAATGGTCCCACTTAAAAAATTACAGCAGAGAATGGAAGCATGCTTCTATTTACAAACACAGTTAACTAAATTACAGAAATAATGAATTCAAGTATCTTGTTAATTTTCAAATATCTTGTTAATTATGCAATACTTGTTGTCTTTGCAACTATGTAATGTACCTGTCACAACTGTTTTAACTGCAAGTATTACCTCTTCTGCATCACAGAATGGTTGATTTTGGAAGGGATCTCTGGAGATAATCTAGGCCAACCCCCTGCTCAAAGCAGGGTCAGCTGAAACAAGTTGACCAGGATGATGTACAGTTAGATTTTTTTAATATCTTCAAGGATGGAGACTCCACAACCTTTGTGCACAATCTGTTCCAGTGTTTGATTATCCTCACAGTTAAAAAAAAAAAAGTTTTCTGATGTTTAAATGGAATTTCCTGTATTTCAGTTTGTGCCCATTGCCTCCTGTCCTGTCACTGGGCACCATTAAGAAGAGCCTGGCTCCACTTTATTTATACTCCTTCATCAGATATTTAAACCTATTTATAAGATTCCCCCTTAGGCCTTCATCTCTCTTTCTTTTTCTTTCCCTTCCTCATGTATGACAGATGCTTCAAGCCCTTAATCATCTTAGTGTCCCTTCGCTGGATAAAAGCACCATTATGTTCATGTCTCTCTCGTACTGGAGAGCCCAGAACTGGACACAGTACTCCAGATGAGGTCTCACCAGTAATGAGTAGAGGAGAAGGATTATCTCCCTCGACCTTCTGGCAATACTGCTCCTAACATAGCCCAGGGGATCATTCGCCTTCTTTACTGCAAGGGCACATTCCTGACAACTTGAGCTTGTTGTCCATCAGGATCCCCAAAGTCTCTGGACTTTTCTGCAAAGCTGCTTTTGAGCCAGTCAGCTCCCAGCTTGTAGTGGTGCATGAAGTTTTTCCTCCCTAGATGCAGAACTTCTCACTTTCCTTTGTTGTACTTCATGAGGTTCCTGTCTGCCATTTCTCTAGGCTGCCTAGCCCGTCATCCCTCTAAATGGCAGCACAACCATTTGATGTATCAACCACTCCTCCCAATTTTGTATCATTTGCAAACTTGCTGAAGGTGCACTCTACTCCAGCATCCAGGTCATTAATTAAGATGTTAAACAGTATTAGACCTGTTACTGACCCCTGAGTGTACTTCACTAGTGACTGGCCTGTAGCTGGACTTTATGGCACTAATAATGACCCATTGAGCCTGACAGTTCAATCAGTTTTCATGTCACCTCACTGTCCACTTATCTAGACATTACTTCACGAGGTTTTCTATGAAGACCTTATGAAAGACTACTGAAAGCTTTGCTAAAGTCGAGATAAGCAACATTCACTGCTCCCCTCTCATTCACCAAGCTAGTCATCTCATCATAGAAGGCTATCAGGTTGATTAAGCATAATTTCTCCTTCATAAATTCATGTGGACTACTTCAAATCACCTTCTTGTGCTTCATGTGTTTAAAAATAGTTTCCAGAATTATTTGCTTCATCACCCCCTTCCAGGGACTGAAGCAAGGCTGACCTGCCTGTAGTTCCCCAGATCCTACTTCTTACCATTCTTGAAGATAGGAGTGACATTTACTTTTTTCCAGTCTTCAAGAACCTCTACCGATTGCTATAACCTTTCAAAGATAATTGAGAGTGACCTCACAGCGGTGTTGGCTAGCTCCTCAGCACTTGTGGGTGTATTCCATTAGGTCCCATGGACTTGTGTATGTCCATTTTGTTTAAATGTTCCCTAACCTGATCCTCTCCACCAATGGTGAGTCTTCCTTGCTCTGGACTTTTCTGCTGGTCTCAGGAACTTGGGATTCCTGAGAGCTAGTCTTACCAGTAAAGACCAAGGTGAAGAAGGCATTGAATACCTCTGCATGTCCTTTGTCACCGTATCCCTAGTCACATTCAGCAGCAGGCCCATATTTTCCTTAATTTTCCTTTTCCTACTGATGTACTTGTAGAAGCCTTTCTTGTTGACCTTCATGTCCCTCACCAGATTCAACTCTTGATGGGCTTGTGACCTGAAGACTTATATACTGGACTTCACATAGCAATAAAATTAAACCACTGTTCAGCAACAGTACCTCCCCTGGATGGTCAAACGGAACTCTTATACTGTACCTTGTGAAGGATTTAGCACAGTCAAGAAACTGCTTATTTCCAGGCAAGTAGGCCACTTAGGACCACAGGCAAAATGTAAATATTTTACCTAATATACGTGTTAATTAAGCAAAGGTGGAAGGCGAATCATCTAGTTTCCCATATCAAAATATTTCTCCATGTGTCTATGTTTAAGCCCCAAAAGGTATAATAAGGTTTAAGAGAAGGCATCTAGTGAGATTTAGGCCTCTCAGAAATAAAGCACCTGTCACTATGTGAACTTTCTGGTTTGTCACCTGCACCTAAGATGTCTAATTCCTACCTACATCTTATTCCTGTCCACTCAATGCAGTCACTCCCAGTTTTTCTCTTGCACAGTACTTCCCAAAGCACTGTGAAAGCATTAGTTAGAATTTAAGTGAACTGGCAAAGCTGTAAAAGGAAATTTGCATGACACTTTATGCAAGACTACCTGACACAGGCTACTAACATTTACATTGGCAAAAAATAATTCGCAACAAGATTCATGACAATTCAAGACATTTCAGACAACTGGATATAATAAAACACAGTGGCTAAATGACAGAAATGAGACACAGACAAAAACTGTCAAGTCATATCATATGTGCCTTTGCTAATACAGAAGTTCATTTTCTATGCAGGTAAGTAGTTTTCAGAGATCATTACATATAAGGCCTTTACCAAGGGATTTTAGCACATTTGCTAACAGTGTAGTTTTGATAATTAGGACATACAAGATTGTTTTACACAGATTTGTCAACACTTTGGCTGCTTTTTACTTCAGTAAACAGCTCATACACACGAAACATGCCAGTTCTTAATGTTAGTTTATCAGAGAACCACATACGCAAATCAAATGAGTGTAAAGTTACTTGATATTCCATTATTCAAAGAGCAGAATTCCAACAAGATTGGGCACAAAAGTGAAAAGAAAATAATGATCTATCCATTTACTTAAAAATAAAGAAGGTGCCATAAAGCTTGCCTAAAGTACATGGATTATTTTATGTTTATTTTGATTATTTTATGTAGTATATAAATGTACGCATATAAGATTGATATTATTTTGTTTGATTAAACATAGCATTGACAGTGAATTTTGGTGTGTTACCTGCAAGTTGTATCCTAAGCAAATTCTGGCTTTTATACACTTTGGATTCAGGTGAATTGCTCTCAAGAAATCTTTCTGTGCTTGTTTACAACCAGCCTCACGTTCGTTTTCCATGTATGAATTTCCTCGTCCAATATAGGCATCCACAGAAACAGGATCTAGTTTGAGAACCTGGTCAAATGATCTCACAGCTTCTTCAAACTCATGAAGTCTAAAAATAGAGATATTAATGTTTGCTGTTTAAAAATTCTATAAACAAAATTCTCAATTTATGAATGATCACCAAATACTACCCCATAATGCCCACTGAAAGTAGTTCAGTTCTCACTGAAAGGGACACTTCTTTTTTCCCCTTAAGTTTGCTTTCTGTATGTGCCACCTGATGGTTATAACAGTGAGGGTAGTCAGTGTAAGGCCTTGCAGACTTCAATTTTAATTCCTTGGCCTGAGGAAGAAAACAGCGAAACTCTCATTAACTTCTGCTGGGCCAAGATTTCACCTCTTCAACAGTCATATTCAGAGAGACTTTACGCAAGTCATTCCTGCTACCCAAGTGTCATGACCAAACATGTCTTTGGTAGTCTGTTCAGGAACAGATGTTTCAGCAATAAATAATTTACTTCTAATACAAGCCTTCTCTCTGTTTTTTCTTATACCAATTCTCAAACTTATCCAAACTATGCTATACTTGCACGGCAAAAAGAGACGATATTCGGGGTTCTAAGCATAGGCCATTCTGGTCTAAGAGTAAGCCAAATGTGGAACCCCATCCTTAGATAAAACTTGATGCATCTGAGGTATACTGAGTAGGAATAAAAAGGATTAAATACCTGAAATGTCAATGAATGCTAGTAAGTGTCTGTACACGTAAAGCAGAAAATTTAATGTGTCAAAGTACAAAATCATTTTACCAAGATATTGACAATAAAATGTTGTTTGAATATAAGCTACCTGTGTCTACTTGAAGCACAGCCTGACTTCTTTACCAAAAGAGGAAAGATTAAATATATTTAGCTAACAAATAACTTTAAGGGTTGTAAATCAAATGCTTTTTAAAAGCAAAGCACGTGTTGCCAAAACAAATTAGGGCTTCATTCCAATCCTGTTGATAGTCAGTCATGAGGCTAGAGACTGCAGGATGGATCCCAAATGCATCTTAAAATGGGTTATATGGCTGAGTTATATAGTTACTAGAGACTCCTCTTGACAGTTGAATACAGACACGGGCACCAAAATCATATGCTCAGTTCTTAGAAGCAGTGTTCAGCATTCCTGTGCAAGTTCCACATCATCCAGACACTATGAAAGAGGGAGCCAGTTATGCCCTAACTACAGGCACAGTAACACAAGAAGTTTTGATAGTACAATCCTGAATATGTCCACCTCCACACTGCCTCAGCAGCAACAAGATTAAGTAGTGACAGATGGCAGAGTAGAATAAAATAGAATAAAATAGATTAGAATTGTAGAATAAAATAGATTAGACTAAACTAATAGGCAGATAGCTATTAAAATTTCCTTTTTATCATAGGTGATATTTGTGTGAAATAGGAACTATGAACTCCAAGTGCCACTACGATAAGTAGACTAAGATACTAATGTACATCTTACATCTTCCAATTTATATCTCTTTTAAGTGATTAACAGATTTAATTTAGTCTTTCTAAATAAACATTATCTTGATGAAACTACACTTTAGAATTTCCAAATAAAAAAAATCAGGCAAGGAAGATCATTGAGGCTTTTGCTTTTCCTTAAAGGACAGAAATTGCATTTTAACTAATTCTGAACAAACCAACCCAACTCTGTTTATCTCATAATTCTTTGTTCTTCAGTCCTTCTCTTTGTTCTGTTTTATCATCCTAGTATTTCCTCCTGATGCTGTCATGAACACATAGTTGCTTGATACCAGAAGATTTTAATATCAGTTGTTAAACTTGAAAAATATCTAATTTTCTTTTTTCCATTCCTCTTTACCGTTTTCTCCTCCCTCAGTTCTCAGTGTATTCGATATGAAAAGGTGAACTGGAATATAAAGCTCAGGAATTATTTCATTTTTCTAGTCTCCATCAAACAAAACTACATATCTTACCTACGACAGCATATTCCAATAGCTTGAAAGATCTGGCTATCACCTGGACTAAGCAACGTTGCTTCTTTGAAGTCCTGAAAAGAACAGACATTAAACCATGCAAATTGATATTGCTTCACCTCACCTACAACTGTTGTTCTTAGTTAAACAATTTTATACTTCTATATAAAAAGGGAGATAACTTCTGACAAAGGCATTATACATTCAGAAGTACTGGAGATGTATTTAACTGTTTTCATACTTCTTGTCCCAGACTTTGATAGAATAAAATCTCCAAAGTTACGTGATATCATGGTATTTCCTACAAAGCTGGAGGCAACATTTCCAGAAACAAAACCTTCCAGAAAGGTTTTGTTTGTTTGTTTTTAATAGAAATACTGTACCTCAGCTGCTATTATTAAATACATATATATTGAAAATATATTTTGCTATATACAATTTCAATAGAATTCTTCCAGTAATAAAATTATCTAGTTACTTTCTGTCATTCATTTGACAAATGTAGTAAACCAAACTCATATTTGCATTGGGGATTCTATGCATAATGTTCCAGTGAAAGACTTCATAGTGCTTTTGACTTTTGCCTTTTACTAACATTCAGAACATTTTTCAAAATGCTTGTGGTTTTGATATATGTGGTTCAATTGTAAAAACTGTACAGGTGCTTTTAAAATCAAATACAATCGTTTCAATTATGATGTAAGGAAGCACTTTAGGCTTCTGCATGGGAAAGCAACCAGTATGTACTAGGAGTGGTTTAGCTGATGCATCCACTGAACTACAACTTATCATTTTTTACTTATTCAAATTGTAAAAATAAAAAGATGTGGAAGATTTTAGCACTGTTGGAATTACAAAAGTGGCAAAGTAATTATGTGCAGATATATATATTTATATTTTGTTAAAATAAAAATCTCTCTTTCGATGAACATGCTATCATAAAATTGTAGGTATGTTTTTAAAAAACTACTGAGACACACTGTTTCCATCCAGCAAAGTCTTTCAAAGAATACCCAACAAAGCTAAAGGGACTCTTCATGTGCACAGTTTGGAGTATACACTCTGCTCTGTGTATGCAGCAGAGCAAAAGCAGGATCAAAGTTCCAAGTACCACGTTTTGTTTACTTAAACCAAAGATGCTATCCTCACAGGTAACTGCACACTTCACAGAATCAATAGGAAAAAATACCTCTACATAGCAATTCAGATCTTGTATAGACTGAATTGTAACTTTTCCTTTTTCTTCCAGTGTACCAAATTCAGGAATACATTCACTTCAAGTCTTATCTACCCGTGCTTAAGTAATTATATCCTAATTCAACCAGCACTATACTTGTATACAGATATACTCCTTGCAATAAAATATTATCAGAACTGATACATAAGAAGGTCTCAAGCATATTTATAATCACCAATGTTTTTCTTAAATTAGCTGTCATATTTTTGTGTCTGTTCAACTACCAGTTTGTAAATTTGTCTTCACTACAATCCATTCAAAGAACTTTTTGCTCTCCCTGCTGGTTCTGCCCCAGTCTCTTTCTCCTGGCCTTCCATACCAGTTTGTACCACCCCAGCTTCTTTTCTGAACTATTCTGATCAATTGCATCTTGAAGCACAAGAGACCAATAACACAATATTTCTACATAAATTATTTCTGCGCAAGGTCTACCAACTGTAAAGAGCTTTTGTTGTGCACCTCCAATAGGACATTTCTAGGTCATTGGAATGGGATTCATACTCATTCTTTATTTTTTATTTGCACATAAGAAACATTACTCAATTTTTGAATGCCTATACTGAAATTGTTGCTATCACGTCAAGAAGATAACATATTTTAAAATTACTAGTCCATAATGGAAGCAATGAATGCACCAGTTATACTGAAAATAAATACCCCTGCTTTTCAAAAAACTAAAACTTTTAGAAAACTTAAAAACTATTTAAAATTCAAAAATAAAAACTCATGTGTGTGAATGAGTAATGTTTAACACTGTTAGGTTTCCAGCCTGCTATTGCTATACCAGATGGAGTCCCTTGGAATGAGTGTCATCTGCACCGTGAGTCCATGTCAGAAACACATACTGTTTTCTTACTTTTAAGAAAATTATCTTAAGGTCAGACCCTTCCTGCCCTTTCAACAAAAATGGTCATTTACACACACACACGTGCACACACAGAGGAACAAAACAAGCCCACTCAATCAGAACTTCCATTTACTGAGGCTTCTGCAATGAATTAGTACTCATTTGGACCCAACATAAGTTGCTTCAAGATTAAAAAAGAAGGAAAAATCAGGTTCTTGCCTATTACATTTTGTGCAACTCCCATGTTTAACTCGAGCAGCATAAAATCGTAAAACAACTAAAACTGCATTTTATTTGCATCTTCACAGCCAGACTGGCATTAGGAGTTGAGCAAATGAGAATTGGGCACAAACTATTTCAGAAGAATATTAAAATAGTCAAGATGGCCTTTATATCAGCAATGGCTTACGTTTAACAGAAAACTCTACATTTCCTTTACTCAAAGAAGGATTTTGTACCTCACGTGCATTAGCATAATCACCAAGTTCCACGTAGAGTAGTCCACGATTAATTAACACTTTAAAAGCTATTTCCTTATTCAATTCAAGCAGAAGAAGAATTCCATAATCTTTCAAAGCCTACAAAAACATAAAATGTATTTTAAACCATAATTTATTCAGAGGGGTACAATGATGCTTCAAAATTTAAAAGGCATGCTTTCAAATTCCTACAAATCATGTGCATATGCATGGACTTCAGTGTGGCTATTCCAATGTTTCATTGTTCCCAGATTGCACTTAACTGATTTTGGAGCCTTCTATCTATTACATAGATACCCATTCCTAGAGTACAGAAGTAAAAATAATACAAATATATTAAATATACATAATTAAAACTTGTTTTGACATTATATAAATTTCAGCGTTAGAAAAAAATCTTAATTACTTCCACTGTTAAATTTTATGTCCAAATTCTTATTAAAAAAAACCCAACAAATTATTCTAGATTAATTAGTCATGCTTTTAAAATTAAATATCTTCAAATAGAATTTATTGTTATTGAAAAACCTAAGCACTAGTTGTATTAACTAAATTTGGGTGTAAATCTTCTAAGAGAGCAAATAGTGACACGACTAGGTAGACTGAAGAAGCCTCAATTCTCAAATTCATCAAAATTGAACAGTATTTCAACAATGCTTGATCTGAAGAAGTTCTATCCCAACTCTTTTTTCACCTGAAGAATAAACTTATACAATATACTTAAGAATAACTAGACAAAAATGTCCTTGGTTGCAGTATTCCATATACTAGCCACTTAGAAGTTCTATCTTTTGTCACTTCTAAACTAGCTAGATACTAGAAACAGCTTTAAAGAAAGCAATCCAGTTCTTGTTAGTTCTAGTGAATTTCTTCTGTCAATAATACACTATATTTTTTCTGCAACTTCCCTTGTACTTTAAGTGGCTTTTCTGGAGAGTTTTATAATACATTTTTACTAAAACTTTTATAATACTTTATTTATGAAGGAACTATCATTTTCACATCTTAAACTTTTACCTTCAGTTACTGAAATCACCTATTTTTCTTTACCCATCTGCATCATTCTTGGCCAATTAACCTCTAAGCACAAATGGTCTTTGCCCAAAGTTGATTTGACTTGAGACATCCGACCTCAAATACTTAGGAACTAGCCCTGTCTCAGAAAATAGGCCTCATCAGAAAGACAGTTCAACATGATTGTGTTCCCAGTCTGAAGTTGCATGGTGCTTTGTGTGCCCTGCTGTGCCCTTGCTTTATAACAAAGGTAGAAAGCTGAAACACTCAGAGGCAGCTCACAGGCAAGCTGACAGAAGTATAAACACATCCAGAAAAACAGGGCTGTGAATGAGGGTTGGATGTAGTCCAAATCCCTGTTTTGATGTAGTCTTCTTCTGGATAGTTCTTATATTTTCAAAGGGATATCAAATGTAATTAATATGGTAGTAGAGACCAAAAAGCCTTTTTTTTTTTTTTAAACAATTTCCTGAAGAACACAATCATTCAGGAAGACATTGCAAGAGGTCAGAAATTTTGACTAACTGTCAATAACAGGTTACTAGCTAGTATGAACAACAGAGTGCTCATGTGATGTTGAAAAAAAATTAATACCATACCTTTCTGAAGTCCTTTATTTGATGATAACAGACAGCTCTGTTATAATATGCCAAAATGCAGGTTTTGTTGAGGTCGATAGTTTTTGAAAGATCTTCAATTGCAGCTTTAAATGTCTGCAAATGAAAAGGCACTGTGTATAAATTGTAATTCAGGGCACCACGTATTCTTCCTCAAATAATAGCCTATTGTAAAATTTTATTTCATAGTTTTACATTTTGGTTCTTCATCAGCACTGGAAGGCATCCAACCATTTCACTATGTCCTCTACGGACTAGTTGCTGCAGCCCTTACTGCAGCAGGAGCACTTCTTCAGAAGCTCTATTTGTGCAAAGGCTGGGGAAACAAACATTCTTAGTGTTTTCTTACATCACATCCACATACTGCAATACATAATCAATCCTTAATTTTACTAGCTCACATTTTATATCTTAACCTAACATAGAAAGTATCTTTTGTGGAGTTTTAGTACTTCTGTCTGTCACTAGGTAAGAATCTATTCTGTGGAACTTAAGAGAAGAATAACCAAATAGATGCTCAGTAGCTTCTTCAACCCATCAATCATTTTCAGTTACATAGTACCACCGGAGAGTAACTTCAATGGGGAATGGAAAGTATAATAATCAAGTGGAATTCCTGGTTTCCATCAGCAACACTTTTATCATTATTTCACCATTCTAAAGTATCAAGTAAGATACATTAAATTTTAAGGGAGAACACGAAAGTACAACAATAAAGACAGTCCCACCTTATTTTGATACTTTAAAGTTCCTCGGTAAAAATAAGCTCGCACACTGTTAGGAAGAATTTTGATCGCCTCATTGCAATTCAGAATTGCCTTAGAGTATCTACCTTTACTTCCATAGTAAGCAGCACGACTCATATATGCCTGTAGGGATGAAGACAGAATGATGACATGGCAAAACCCAGCTTTGTTTAGCATTGTAAAACAAGGGTTAAATAGAAGATAGAAATTACAAGTTTATGAAAACTTACACCTTATGAAGTTTGTAATTTCTTTTAATACTTGCCACGCGCTTGTTGGTAGATTACAAGGCAATACACCCATAAATGCAAAATCTGTCAGTCTTTGAACCCATCCAAAAATGCCTCACAGAAACAAACTATCAGGAGTCTTTATATTACCTGGAAATGTGTTGGACAAAGGACAAGTGCTTGATTGAAATCTCGGATGCACTTAGCTTGTCTGAGCTGCATTCTACATAGCCCTCGCTGATAAAAAGCATCAGGGTAACGTGAATGTAGTCTGATAGCCATACTAAAAGCAGCACAGGCCTAAAAGGATGACATATCTGGGTTAAATATGGTCTGTTTGTTCAGCTGAAACCATAGGCTAACTATCAGATTCCTTTGTACAGGTAGGTATGACCTATTTTTGCAGTTGGAACTCACCATGTACCTGCATTGGGTTTTATCACTTATCACTTATCCACTTATCACTTATCCATTTACTGCTACTTAAAATTTTGTAATGTCTGACACCCTACCTAATGCAATCATAACCTCAAGGAGGCACAATCTAACTAATTTAATAGTCTCATTTCTTCAGTGAGACTACAAAATTTTAACCAAGCACATGGTCTTCTGTCTGTAAGAGCTGAAATAGTGAAGTTGTTTGTTCTAACAGACAATGGATTACACATGGCTAGTATGCAACTCCTTTAAAATCCATCCAGACAGTTTTTCCCTCTACATTGTACATTAGCTTACAAAGTCATGGGCTTTTCCAGGTTCTACAGCTGTAATGTCAGATGTACATCGACAGAGAATTCACCTTTTCCAATTGTCACGTATTACCACATTAGATATTTCAGACAATTTTGACAGCCTTCTTCCAAAAGAATATCACTTGACAAACAGGGTTGGAAGCAGACAAGGCAAGAGACTGTTCTCTTCTCCATGACATTCTGATATTTCAAATGTTTCTAGAGTCTGTCTTGAGCCTTTTAGCAAATCAACAACTGAAACATATTTATTAAAATATCAACATAGAAAACATTTGCATGAACTCACACTAGGCCTGCCACAAAACTCACTGATAGGCTTTCAGAAGTTTTCAACAAAGAAGTCTCTAATACAGTTAAAAGTATTGACTTTGTTGAAAGAAAGGAAATATATTTTTCTTAGGTAATGCAGTTTATTTCTTAAATATCACATGTAAGTGCCAAAGAGAACCAGCTAGGGGTGTTATGAGCTACAGTAGTATAAAAAACAGTTAACAAATTACAACCAAATCCATAACACAATAATCTAGGAATTCCCTTGTCCAAGTTTACTACCAATTCACTAAGCCACCGATACTCCTACATGAGTGTTGTATGTCTATACAATCTGTGGAGACACTGATAAACAGATGAGAAATTCATGTGGTTTTTATTCCATCAGAATGGCAATTAGTAACATACATTTTAAAAAAATCACAACATTAGCACTGGAATAATGACTCACAAACTTGCAAGACAGTCTAATGTATGTCATGAATTCAAAAGAAAATTGCTAAAGGCAGTGGAGGCTGTTTAAAATACTGAAATTATTCGCTCAGTTATCATAGTTGTTGTTTACAAACAGTGAAGTGAAAGGCTAATATATTCTACATAATTAATACCAACCCGTAATAAACTTTTTTGCTCTATGTAACACAGGCCTGTGAGATAACACATTTCTGCAGCCTCAAATGTTTTAGGCAGGATTTTTGCTGAGGTTGTCAGGAGCCTCATAGCTTTTCTAAAACTTCTCACAGCATCCTGCAATACAGAGTATATGAATAGTTGTAAAGCACTTAACTGAAAATGTGCAAGATTTGTTAGACATTTTAAACTATTTTTAAATGTTTTTTTTCTTAGTCTTTCTTTGGAACATCATGGTAAAAATTACTAGTCTAGTGTTCCTTGATGTTGCTGGAGTTAGACACACTCTTGATCTCTGAATGGTTCATATTAATAACTGATTAGAAAAACAGAGAAATATTCCTGAGTTTTATTTATATATGACAAACTAGCTAATGTACATGATCTAGAAATAACGTACAGTTCATTTATACTGTTATTTGGGTACATAGTTAATTATAATTATTTATTAATTTTACTTATATTTATTTCCTCGGGAAGAAAAGGTATACCTTTAGATGGAGTCTGATGATAATGCAGTACTTGCTACAGGTTTCTTTATGTAAATAATGACAAACTATTTATTCCATAGACAACTTATTGAATTTAATAACTATTAAGAAATATATTGAAAGGATAATCCTGTATAGGCATTGAAGGAACTTAAGTGACTAGCCTCTCAGAATCTCACCATGTCTCATAGATCTAGGCAATAATTTATGCATATTTAATAATGCTTTGGTTTAAAGGAGGGTGTACAGATAACAACCAAAAATTAAGAACAGTTCAACATAAGCCATTCCTCAGCCTTTGAGGATTATAAAGGGACCACAGCTGAAAGTTTCAATAACAATAAGAGTAAAAGAATTATAGCATTTTTTTCTTAAGTGAATCTTTCAAGCTGAAGAAGTATTTGTTTAGAACAATCAGTTGAAATACCAGTGCCCATAGGGCTGTCTGCAAATACTACACCTGCCTCCCTAAGTTGTCAAGGTAGTAGAAGTTTTAAACAGGTCTGCATTTACTGCTATTTAAAAATCATTTTTTCCTATCCCTACATTCAAAAATACTCTTATTTTAAGAGGAAAAAGAACTGTAGATACCTGAACTCACTCACATATAATTCTAAAAGCACAGCTGATTCTCAGGGCACTATAGCCTGAGGTCTGATCATTTTCCAATATTGAGAGTATTGTGTCATTCCTCTCCAGAAGAAGTGGCAATGCAAGTCCTCACCCCTGGGTGAAGCACTCTGAGAAATTAGGGAATTACTCTAATACACATCCTCTTAACCATGACAACTGAAATGGTTTGGAGTGTACTAATGATCACCATCTTTGACTTAGCATTCTATCAAAGACAGCAGAACTAGTAATGTCCCATTATGGTTTGAGACAAATAAAACACCCAAGCTTAATAAAAAAAGCTGAATGAGCTGAATCAAGAGGTTTTATCTGGTACAAGCCCAGGGAGCAGGAGTATAATTTTTGCAAAGTGCACACCTTTTCACTTAAAGAGAACCTGCAAACACAAGACTAAAAGGAAACAGAAAGACTGTGCATTTCAAACACAGAAATAGATAGGTAGATTCAAGGTCTTATGAGTCTACCTGTTGCATTCTGCTATTGTGTTTAGGGAAAAAGGACTCTGTACATTTTGTATAAACAAATAGGACTGTACAAAAACAAACAGCTAATCCATACTGCCAATTTCAACAATTCTGCAGGCCTCAAATATTGGCTAACTGCACAACTCAGAGGAGTGACGGTATTTGTTAAAACCTATGACATATGAATATTAACAAAGTTGAGAAAATACCTGTAACTATATATTATATATTCAGTTCACATACATGAATTAAACTTTGGTACTGCATTTTATTAGACAAAAAATGCTAGACATGCTTCTGTATTATTGTATTTCAAAAGAAGCAATATTATGACATGTAATGGACTTCAATCTACATAATTGTATCTTTTACTTGATCATCTTAAATGTTTTAAAACTAATATTGCCTAATTTATGCTGAACTATTAGTGCCACTTGTTGAAAATTCTTACTCAGGTCTTCTTATAATTTAAACAATGAGGTACTCTGACGGTTTATTTATATACTAGCACATTTCACAAAATATTAAAAAAATACTGAAAGAAAAACATTGTTTTGCTTGGCATATATATAATGTAAATTTTTCTAACCTTAGTTTTCTTGGCTTTCATTTGTATTTTTCCTAAAATAACAAACATTGAAGGCTCAGGTTGAGTTGCAGTAGCTTCACGTAAGCACTCTATGGCCTTACTGTGATTTTGACAAAATGACTGAATGAGTGCTTGCTGAACAGGCTGAGACGTAAAGGATTCTGGAAGGAAACCACCATGAAAAACAATAATCTCTTTTACTTCAACTTATATGTTTTCCAGTATAAAATACCTGTAAATGATGTGCAAACTTTAAAATGCTATTAAAATATTTGGAGTATCAAAGCTTGTTTTAACACCAATAAAAATATGAATGTAAACTAAATTCCTACAAAAGCCTGAAGTTGAACAGTTATTTATCAATGAGTGTAGTTTGATTGCTAAACATCTGCAAATATTTACCTTCCTCTCCCCACATCTATGAAGGCTTTGCTCAGCAGAAGTATCACCATATACCTGCTTTGTTTTTATATTCTTGTGCCCTGTGTATCTACTCTTGGTCACTACCAGAGACTGGAAATTAGTCTCATACAGTATGGCTATTCATATGGATTCACCAAGAGATTCAGGACGCACTGAACACTGCCATTTTATACCCAGCACATAACAAGGTACTACTATACTGAAATACTTTTTCTGTTCAAACGCATTGAAAAGGTTCAGTTCTAAAGCTATTTGATATTTTCTTAGGAAAAACTGCACAGAAGTACAGAACAGAATCTTTACTCAATACTTCTTTAAAGCAGAAATCACCAATATTGAAAGGTAGAAATAAAAAACAACAAGAACTCAAAAGATAAAAGGAAAGGTAAAGGAAATTCTGAAATCACAGGTGATAGTACAGGCAATAGTGTACACCATTATTAACTTTAAAGGCTTCAGGCATGCAAACAAAATACTCTAGATAATAAGTTCCTATATTTTAGCTGATCCATGGTAACTAACCTATTTACATGCTTGAACTTAATTTTTTTGAACAATTTCTTGGTTACAGACTGTTGCCATGGTTCACAACTATCTAGGAAAATTCATGGAAATTCACGTTACCTTCATCCATTTCTGCAAGCTGGTGAATGCATAAACCTGCCAGCTCATATTTCTTCAACTCCATTAAATACTGTCCCCTGTAATTAAATATTTGTTGGATGTAATTAGTAACACTATTTCCAGGCATTTCTTTCAAAGTGCAAATACTAGCAAAATATGTTTTCATTAGTATAAAAAGAGAAAAAGGAAAAATAATGCCTTCTAATAAAAACATCCAAATTTTTTCATTTTTTTTAACAGAAATATCTGTTGAATTTTTAATTTTTTCTCTCACATCACAATACCAAGAAATTATATGCTTACCTCTCTTCAGATTGTAGGAGTTACAAAAATACATTTTTTTGGATTCCACAGATAGTAATCCTTGTAATGTCAAGAACTGCAACAATAATTTTAATAATACTGTTTCTAAAATCCACCACAGACTGATAGCTGACAGATACACTCTGTTTTCAAGGACAATTTTTTGCCTCTTCAGATATCAGCATCAATATAAGAGGTCATGCTAGCCAAACCACACTCGGAGAGACAAGCTGAGCAAACCCATTCTTAAAATTGGGAAAATATAGTATTATTGACTGGAACATAGTAACTAATTCTCCTAATACACCTGAAGAATAATATGCTAGCATTTCCTCCTTAGTTCTTACTCCTTAGTTCTTATAGCTTTTCAGGGGAGGAAACAGCTTGGGAAACAGATGGGGAAGAAGAATAGTCCAGATCTAAATTGGCCTGGATTCAATTCTTCACATTCTTTGCATTATATGGATTCTGCATACAAATCAGTGAAGGACCCATCCACTTGGGGAAAACATTTAAAATTATTAATTTTTTAAAAGTTCAGACTTGCTTTTTTGTCATGGCACCTATTTACTTCTTTTTCCCCAGAAACTATATGTACCTCAAAGAGCAGAATCCTGCACATGAAACAAGATTCCTCCCTCCAAGGCAGCAGTTACAATAGTTGGGTGACACTATGCAGATAAAGTTCTTCAGGTCTGAAAATGCTATGAAATTACTACATTTTTTTAAACCCATTCACAGCAGGTTTCAAAGAACACAAGGGTATCTACCAACAGCATTCCAAAACTGCCAAAAATTTTTTTAAAAATTGAATTTTTTTAAAAGTGAGATAGCTGTGAAGTTCTCGACTAATCACTTTCCTACCTTAATATGCGAAGTTGTGATTTATTTGGATAAAGATGAATGGCCCGGTTTATATCCTTCACAGCACTTGGTAAATTATGAATCTGTAATTTATAAAAGAAAAAACCAGCAATTTAATTGCTAATATGAACACAATTTGGAGACACAATTATTATTTCTGTAAATGTGGTTCTGTACAATCTAATGCCCGCATGGTAACAACTCACAAGGCACATATGTCCTCTGTAAAGGAGCTCAGCATGTTTTTAACAAAGTCTGAAACATTTACTCTACACATTTCCATACTCTCCCACAGGGCAGATCCAAACTCCAGACAGTTTCTTTACTTTTCCAAAATCCAAAGAAGAGTCTGGACTACTGAGAAGGAGGTTAGGTCATGAGATCCACATGCACATATGTCCTGATGAATCTTCACTGCTGTAATAAATTTGCATTTATTTTTCAAGTGTCTGAGCATGTGGTCCCATTCAGTGTGCTTCAGATACTGACAAGAAAGAAGATCATTACAGTGAAGATCCCAAGAACTGATTCATCCAGCTGGGATAGCTGCTAACTCAAACTCTCATTAAAGAACATAATTGATGGAACGCATGTACTGAGCTTTATTTTACTGCTTTACATTGAAATTAAAAAAAAAAGCCCCCAAAAATCGCCCCAAAACACAGCAACAACAACAAACTACAAAAGCAACTTGAGCATTAGTGGATGATCTCCCATGTAAACTATCAGGCACAAATTCTCAAAGACAGTATCAAAAAAAAAAAAAAAAAGAATATCATCAATCCACTTAGATGGACTCTGAGTTAAAAGCTATTTCCTTTAGTTGTGGAAGAAAATGAACAGTGTAAGCAATTTCTCAAAACATTTTGAAAACAAACTAAGCACTGTGAGAACAGTTGTTTGCATTCTGCCAATGAAATCTACAGAAATTAGATCACACTGAAGACTCCATTTCTTGTACTTCTGCAAGGGTTTCAAAAAACCAACTGCCAGCAGAAACTATTCTCAAATGCTATGTAGAAGTAGAATACATTCTGTTTCACAGTAAATGAAAATGTTTTTACTCCCATTTATGGGGAAGAAAATTTGAGATTCCTGAAAAATTAGTATTCTCAAGAAAATTCTGTTCAGAAAACACTGTATTTCAAAATGTGGGGGGTTTATATTTAAAAAATACATATTTTTAAAAAATATTTTCTTAAATATATTTGAAAAAATTAATTAAAGCTCAGATTAGATGTACACTCATGTAGAAAAGATAAAATTACACTTGAAATATTTTGTGTCATTGTATTACACACCAACAATATTTTACAATTGCAATGTATGTAATTCTATTATGGTGACAAGGACTACTTGAAATGTATAGCTATAAGCAGGTTCTAATATCTATATGACACCAAGGCATAAGTATTAAAATACTCACAATAACCATAAATGTAAAGCTATATTAAGTGGCAAACAAAAGCAAAAGGAATGTATTACCTTATGATATGCTTGCGCCCTGCATACATAGGATCGAACATTGAGAGGATCAATTTCAATGGCATTAGTAAACTGTCGAATAGCTTCATAGTATTGATCGAGATGCAACAGCAGTATCAAACCAATATTTAGGTAAGCAAAGATGACAGAGCTAAAAACAGATTTTTTTTTCCTTTTGTTATTGCATGAAATATGTCATTGTATTCACCACAACTTATACAGGCTTCATCTACTTTTATGACATTTACCACACATCTATTTTGTGATCACACTGAGTTAAAGAATTGTAATTGCCTGCAGAGGAGATAGCTCATTAAAAAACACCATTTCAGTAACTTGTGATGTTTGGCTGCACACTAGAGGCTCGCTGATCACCAAAACCAGCACTCCAAATGTGAATTGTGAAGAAATGATGACAAGTCTTGGTCATAGAAGCTGGACTAGAAATAGAGCTAGCTGGTAATTTTGTATATACTGAATACACTGAGAAATACCAAATTCTTCAACACTAAAAACACATTCTAGTTTTAAAAGACTGACAAACCTTACACATTTCCCATCTAGCCTGCTCCCTTATTTTCTGTCACTTCACTTGGCTAGCTGCTAGGGAGACCTGGGTTTCTAAGATCTGGAATATCTTGTGCAGACCACTCTTACAGGCTGTTTCTAGGCAAAGTTCAAGACTTCCTATAGCAGAGCCAAGACGAAGGAAGAGCTGAGGGGATCTTTAGGCCTGCCACAGTTTGGAATGGAAGCCTTTGCTCAAGACAGGACTGTTGAGGTTGCCCGAGGCTGAACAAGAACTCAATACCTTTAGAGTAAGGTAATTAATGCAGCTAACTGGTATAGGAGGTTTGTTGCATATTGTAAGACCATTTGCATGGCAGGGCTGCTACAGATATAATCTGTTTCTCGAGTATTTTTAGGTGGTAGGAAGAAACGCAGTTCAGAGAAACCACATCAGCTTCAGTCACCAACTATCAAGGACCACAAACAGCATTTTCTTTTTATTATTTTATTTCAGGGACACCTTTTACTGGCTTTTGCTAAAGAAAACATTGTGGCATTTTCTTTTTGGGGCAAAAAAAAAAAAGTTTGATTCTCTATCTGCATTGTGGGCAGATTCCCTCCCAAAAGACTAATGAAATTATTATGGCATGAGTAGTGAACTTTAATTAGTATTTCAGTTTCATCTTTTGTCTGCCAAACCTGAATAATTTATTTGCCAAGTTGCCATGTAAGGCAAAATAAAATTTAATTTTGAAATACATTAATGATTATTTTTATTAGACTATACTAAATGAGGCAAAAGATACTAAAAGAAGACATTTTTTTTTTGTGTGGTTTAATTCCAGTCTATTTGCTGAATAACAGTTCTGATTCTACCTTCCTTTATTAGTACTTTTATGTCCCCAGGTAATCAGAATACAAACAACATATATTAAAATTCTCAAGTCCAATCACCTGTCCAAAGCTAGGACACTTTCAAAGTCACAGATTGCAAGTGACCATTGACACTGTTCTGAGTAAACAATCCCACGATGAAGGAAAGAACAGAAATTTTCCTGACTGTCATTGATGAGTACTGTGGGAGAGGGAGAGTAAAAATCAACTGATCAGATATTCACGTATATTTCAGTTATTCCATGCAACTTATTTGCACATTACTTTTTACTCCATTTTTCTTAGTTTTATAAAATATCACAGATAAACTATAACATAACATGTTAGTTTATAACAGAAACTGTTCATTGTGGCACAAAATACCTTCAAGACATATTTATAATTGGCAGTTACACCCACTCGAATTGTTAAAAGGGAAGCAGAAAAGCTTAGGAAGCAGAGACAAAACAACTGAAGAAAAACAAGCAGCAAGAGTCAAAGTCTAATAGCAAACTTAACAGAAATGAAAAGAAGCAAGTTATTACCAAACACTGAACAACAGCCATACATTTCAATATTTGCAACATGAGAAATCTGTGTTATATTACAGTATAGTAATTAGTGGTGAATGGTCATTCCTCTTTTTAAGGAGAAACATACACACCATTAAAAGAAACAGACAATACCAGAAACACTGAAATCCTGCACAGCTCTTTTTGGATCAATCTGTCGTAGTATGCAACCTCTATAGTAGAATGCTAACCAACAAGAAGGGTCTAGATGAACCGCTGCTGCTAAGTCTTGTATTGCATCTCTATACTGCTGCTGCTTAGCATATGCTCTTCCTCGATACAGCCTAATAAGGAAGAAAGTTTCTCTTTAAATATAATTTCCCTTAGAAAATTATACCTACAGAATGAAGTCATAGTGTGAAGCTATTATTTATAATATTAACAGATTGAGTCAGCTTAATATCAAGAGTTCTTCCATTTTGTCATGCAACCTTGAAGTAATTATTCAGGATAAGAAACATTGAAAAATAGAATAAATATTAAAATTTATTTCTGAATTTAATAAAGCAAGTCTGAAGGAACGAAGTCCAGTAATCTATAGTGTATAGGCAGATCACTGCACTTGCATAAATCAAGTTCAATATAACAGAACCCGGTATCAGCTTTGGGCATCACGGAGTTGAATGCAACTCTCTCCAACCTCCATAGTCTATTGGTGCAGCAGTTTCTGTATGGGAAATACCAGATTTTGTTAAATCTGATTTAAAAGAAAAAAAAACTGCCCTCATTACTATTAAAGCTTTCTGAAAACATCCATTCTATTCTTCAATATTTCTTTCAAACAGACAAGTTTACAAAATCAGATCCTACTATTTTACACTATTCCTCCCTCAAATTTAGGAAGCTAGCAATATATTTAAACAAGATAAACCACAAGCACAGGTGAAAAAGTGTGAACAGACAGCAACAGCTCTAAAATTACTTTATCAATGCAAAATGTAATATATAAAATATATTTTTGTATTACTGAAGATAGCTTTCACTTATTAAGCCGGTCTTATGCCACATCCCGCTTCTGCACAGTTATCATGCAAAATACGTACTATTCCTTTTTCAATCTAACACAGTAAGATTGTTCCTCAAGAATTTAAATCACATGCTTAACTCTACACAAACACAAGGCACTGATACTAATTGTACTCACTAGGACTATTCACAGAGTCCACACATCAACATGTAAGCCTCAATGAGCTAGTGGATTTCAGGAAGACAAATGCAGCTTTATGTTGCTTCAAGATTTTATTTCAAAGTCAGAGTTTTAAGGAGCATCTGTAAATTACTTTAGCAGCACAGGAACCTAATGTCATAAGAAAGTTTTGCAGAATTCTGTGATTCCCTATGATGAAGATGATGACTGACAGGTAGAAGATACACACAGGGGAATCCTTCCCTAGCCATTTCTATTCAGTTTGGATGGGAATCAGTTCCAGAATAAAACATCTTAACCTCGGTGTCTATTTGTAGATGTCTACAACATATGTTAGGTGTCTGACTTGAAGTGAAAGCAATTCAGTTCATCCAAAAATATACACTTACTGACTGTTTAGCTGAACAACTCTCCATGCTTTATAGAAGAGTCTATATTCAGTCTACCTAGAGCCTACTAACTGTATGGATTAGTCTCTTTGGTGAAAATGGCTGCTCAGACACCTACATCCCATGGATACAGACAGCTGACACCTAAATTCAGGTATTATAATCTGGTATTGAATATCTGCTTTTATTTTTATTTTACATCTATTTTCATGAATCCAGAATAGAGTATGAAAAGAATGTAAAATCTTTGCAGGAATGATATTAAAAAGAAGTCACATGTTCTAGTAGGGAAATCATAATTTTTTTTTTCAGTCTTTCTAAGTCAAACCTCAAAATCATCGTTATAATTCAAAAATAAAGATACTTCTCATTCATAATTCAATTTTTTTATAGAAAACATTAATTCAGCATAATGCTAAAACTAGAAGTGTCAAGGCAACCAAAGGGAATTAGGCATAGAACTATGTAATTGTTAAGGACATTCTTCACTTTGAGCATGTATTTAAATCCAGCTCTTTAGAGCAAAGCACATATGCACATGCTGAAGTCCAACTGACTCTATATTTGCATTACTCCAGTGGGATCTGAGCGCATGGTTCTGTGCTTAGCTAAATTAAGGTCTAGGGACTAATCCAAAGTCATTAAAGCAATACAAAGATTCCCCAATAATAGAAGTCTTATTCTATTCCTATTAGACACCTCTTTGGAAATGCAATTGCTTTATTATTATTATTTAATGCATATTCAGTCTTTTACATATTAATATTATTTTAATAACCTACTTAAAATTCAAATACTTTTGTCAAACTATACATTTTACCTCGCCTGAGCATTGCTGGGGTCTTCCTTGATCACAGCTGCAAAATCCTGAATAGCGGTAGTCAAATCTGAACAGTCAAAGAAATGTATTCCATGTTTCATAAGAGCATCTGTTCTTTTTGGGTTATACTGAAAACACTATAATGAAAAAAATAAAGTAGTACATGATGTTATTCCTCATTCTTATTATTTCTAATGATTAAAAGTCTCAACCAAGCATAAAAATAATATATTCTTTTATTCTCATATTTTCTTTTTTATTCCATTGTCCTTTAATGTCTACTGTCCTTTCCACTAACTGTAAAGTGAAATAAAGAAGTAGCGATGCAAGCTTATTAGTGGCTGGGAATTTGTAGACCTTCAATAATTTATTGAATTAGCCGGCAACAGTAACAGAAGTTACTTATTTATTTCCATAGCACTGATTTTTTTAAAACATCATTTATTTGAAAGGATGTCTGTTCTCCAAGCTACTTACCAGATATATCCAAAAACAGTTTACTTTATTAAAAGTTACACAAAGTTACTACGTTATTGCAACAATACAAAAAAGTGAACTTACTTTGCTGTAATCATCCATGGCCAATAACAATTGATTTTCCTCAAAATACAACTCAGCTCTCCTAAAATAAATGTCATCATCTGTAGGGCTGCATTGTATTGCAGAGCTATAATGGATGATTGCCAATGTATTATCACCTTGCTTCCTGTAAATTTCAGCCATTGACAGGTATGTATCTGAAACAACCATCCAAAATACAAAAGGCACTATTTAGCAGCCCAAAACAAGAAGTCACCTCCTTACAGGGTAATTAACATAAGCAGTAAAAACAGAACAGTGGATTATACAAAAGGTTGGGAAGTCCTGCTTTAACCTGAGCAACAGAACTCAGAAGTTTAGAGCTATAGCTGTGTGCTCAATCATGGAGCCCATGCAGCTGTGAACTGATAGCTCTTGCTGGATTCACAGGCACTAAAACTCTTTGCTCTCTGTAGAGCTCTCTAGAAATGGCCCATCAAGCCATTTAGTGTAGACCTGTTGATCACAAATATTAAGACATTTAGTTTAAATGGGCCCACACAATATTTACCCCACGGTATTGGGTCTGGTCAGGATAGAGTTAACTTTCTTTATAACCACCTGTATGGTGCTGTGTTTTGGATTTGTGGCTAAAACAGCAATGAGTACACAACAATGTCTTAGCTCTTGCTGAAAAATGCTTACACAGTATGAAGGCTTTTTATTTTTTTTTTTTTCCCCAACTCTGCCCTCTCCACAGTGAGTAGGCTGGGGGTGGGCAAGAAGTTGGGTGGACACACAGCCGGGACAGCTGACTTAAGTAGGTCAAAGTGATATTCCGTACCATATAACACCATGCTTAGCAACAAAAAAAAAAATAAGGGTAGAGGGAGAAGGCAGGGGGTGGCCTTCCAAGTCCATGTCCAATTAAAATTTCCTTTGCTGCAAACTGTGAGCTTTCCTTCCTGTTTTGCTGTGCATCTCGCAGAAGAGTTTGACTCTGTCTTCTCTGCTACCACCCATTATGTAGCTGAGAACAGATTTCTCTCTCAGCCTCTCCAGGCTAAGGAACTCATCTCCCTCAGCCTTCCGTTATACAACTTAGGCTCCAGTCCCTTGACCATCTTACTGGCTTTCCAATGGGCTCTCTCCAGCTTGTCTCTCTCATACCAGTGGTTCCAAAACTGGACAAAGTATTGGAAGTGCAGCATCACAACCTGGCAGAGAGGAATCACCTTCCCTGACCTGCAGGGTCTGCTCTGTCAACCAGATGGTAACTTTCCCTTTTAAGCTGCTCTTTCCCAGCTTAAAGGATATGGCAGAACAGGGCTGACTGAAGCACAATAGCATACCGACTCCATTACAGGACTGTTATCAGCTTTCCTCATCAAATTAATGGATACAATTTCCATCAATCCTCCTTTTTTCTCTTTTTTTTTAATTTTTTAAAAATGCACTAAAATTAAGTACTTATTTTTGCCTTAGAAACTGAACTTCTGTCCCAAGCCTTTGAAGATTCAAGTCTGCTTATAATCTTTTTATAATATGGATAAAACAACAGACGTAAGGTTAAATACATACAAAAATATTTGCAGAACTACGGCCAAAGGCAACTAGAGAAAAACACTATGAAAAATTAACTGTTAACTTACACTTCAATATATACTTACCTGCTTTGGGCTTGCTCCTTTTAGTTATAAAATTCAGGTCATCCAAAGCAGCAGAAATTCTGTCTTGAAAGAGGTAAATCAAATGTCTATGCCAGTAAGCATTAAGCAGTAGTGGTTCTAAGCTTATAGCCTATAAATAAAATAAGTAAATAACTTACATTGCAGAAGGAACTTCTCAAATGTGCTAACAATAGTACACAGGAAATGAGAAATTTTTTGCACTGAAATTATTTTTTTAAGACAGTTCCTAGACTGACAAACTTTTATTTAACCTAAAAATCTGAAAAATTTGACTAATGTCACTTGTTTATTTAAAAGTATCATGTACTTGCACATATGCAGAATCAGAGTCCAAGCTACCAGAATATTCGGCACAAAATATTAATCATCTAGGATATTACCACATTTGATGTTTTCTTTAAAATAGTTATCTGAACTATTTCTAAAAGTCAGAACTCTTCTATTTGGAAGTAAGAAATAATTAACCTGTCCCTGTGAAAAAGGAATCAGCTTTTCAAACCATGCTGTTAGGATTCCCATAGAAAGTACTTAACATTCCCTAACAAAAATCACTTGACAGATATTATCAATCAAATAAGGTATTTTACATATGTTATTTATGCATATGACACACATTTTTAAAAGCCACATGGAAATAAATATAGAGACTGATAGAAATCTGAGACTGTTCTGCTACAAGAGTAATTCTCAAATTTTGGTCTATAAACTATTTCTAGGATCCATAAACTACATAGAAATTGTGTTCATATATCTTAAAGAGAAAAGTCAATAACATTTTCACTAAAATATGCAATAGCAATGGCAAGCAATTTTGACAGCTGATATTGTCCCATTGGTCAATTAACCACTTTGTCAGGGTGTGGAATTTTTAGCCTTTCAGATCCTTGACAGTCTGCTTCTAAAGTCTGGGGTGACTAAAAAAGACACAAGATAATCATTGAGTTTATATGAATATGGTTGATTTTCTGTTCAGATAATTTATGAAGTTTGGAAGGTAACAGAATCATAGAATGATAGAATTGTTTAGGTTGGAAAAGACCTTTAAGATCATCCAGTCCAACCATTAACCTAACATTACCAAGTCCACCACTAAACCAATTAAGGGTAGAGCAGCAATTTCATGTTTCCTGGCTTGGTGGCTGGATTATTTATAATGAAAGTAAAAACTAGGAATCAATAAGATTGGAAAAGACCTCTAAGATCATCAGTCCAATCATCAACCTAACACCACCATGCCTACTAAACCATGTCCCAGAGTACCACATCTACCCATTTTTTGAACATTTCCAGGGATGGTGACTCCACCACCTCTCTGGGCAGCCTGTTCCAATGCTTGACTACCCTTTCCGTGAAGAAATTTTTCCTAATACCCAATCTAAATCTCCCTTGGCACAGCTTGAGCACATTTCCTCTCATCCTATTGCTAACTACTTGGGAGAAGAGACCAACACCCACCTCACTACAACCTCCTTTCAGGTAGTTGTAGAGAGTGATAAGGTCTCCCCTCAGCCTCCTCTTCTCCAGACTAAACAACCCCAGTTCCCTCAGACGCTCCTCATAAGACCTGTGCTCCAGACCCTTCACCAGCTTTATTGCCCTGAATATGTACAAATTGCAGGTGCATAAAATAGGTACCTATGTCCCATTAAAAATAAAAAAATATAGATTTATCCCCAAGAGAAGCATTAACAGAAATGGTGTTATAAACAGAAATTTCACCCTAAGACAACACACATTTTGGGAGAGGCAAAATCTAGAATAGAGTAAATAGAGAATAGAGAGTAAAATCTGAAGGGCGGCTCTCACTGCAGGACACACTGGGAGCCTCCTTAAAATTTATTGTGGCTTGAGACTGTTTATCTGAAAGGAATGTGGAAACCAACATGAAGCCAAGCTTCTTTTTTCACTTCTCTGCACATTCCCAAATATTCCAACCGACTGTGTTTTGCATCTTAGCAAAAGAAATGCTATTTACGTTATTTAAAGGTGCCTGTTAGGATTCTTTTCAGGGACACTGGCAGATTGGTGGTGTTCTACTCCCAAAGAGCAGTATCAACTCAAAAGATCTGGTTCAATCTTGCATTATCAAGCACTCCAGTACAAGGATCATGAGCCCCAAAGCAGCTGCTGAGGATTGCTTCTCCGAACACCATGCTGTGTTAAAAGCCGAGATATTGGTTAAGGAAAGAAGGACATCTTTTGCTGTACGATGTTATGTATAGGATGAAGTACTCTGGGGTCCCAACCCAGTTATGACTAGCTGTGTGTAATATAGATGTTAAATAACAATGAAAATACCATACCAAAAGTACAACACATGACTTCTCTACCCACAAACATACAGAACTATACCATTACTTAAAGAATGCCTTTGAAAGCTTTTACAGCTTCCACGTTTAAATTATGGACTTTAAAAATATTCTTTTCATTTCTGTTTTTTCAGCATTTTTTTTATTCTGTTTTGGTTGGTTCTTTCTGTCTGTGCAGGGTCTTGGGCAGAAGTAATGGCAGGTGTGTAGCACTATACAGGGAACTGAAAAGTGTTGAAAAATAAACATACATAGAAAAACACTAGTATTATTGTATAAAATCTTAGTGTCAAATGATAGTTTAATTATAAACAGGAAATACATGACTTTTCAATTGATTTGCCTACTGTGCTTTTGCAGAATTAAAAATATATTTGTCAGCTTTGCCAGCAGCAAAACTTGAAGCAAAAGACTTTCTGTCCTTTCTGTCTATCCTATCTCCAACTCCATTTAGGAGTGTTGTATCCTGAGAAAGGGTCTCCAAAGAAACATTATGGTGCTTGCAGAACACTAGGGTAAAAAACCAGTTTGTTAAGAGCCTGCATCTTCATTCTTGTGGGACTAAACTTGGATCGTGCTGCCATACAAAGGTAAAAGGTGCCAGTGTTCAACCAGTTTATCAGCTCTCCTGCTTCTAGTTCTTCACCTGTTGAGGAACTCAGACACTCAGTTAAAAAAAAAAAAAGTGCTTGCTAGAAGTAAAACTTGGCATTAAACTTACTTTTTCCAAGTCATCCATAGCTGACTTTAACTTGCCTAACTTTCTTTGTATTGCTCCACGCCTGCAGTAGTAAAAAGCTGAAGGATGCTCTTCCTTTTCTATTAGCTCAGTCAGTCGTCTTACTTCTTTTTCTAAGTCTTCAATACTAACTGTTGCACCTTCAAGAAGAACAGGCTGCATTGAGTCAACTAGTTCTATTTGTAGATTTGCTTCTTGAGAGTCCACCATCTCAGTTCCTTTTAGTAATTCAGTATCCTTCTCCTCAGAAGCAGTCCCACTAGGAGGGAAAGTTTCATCAAACCAGCAGTTCCATATTCCACTGACCCACATGCGAACAGAAGTTTCTTTTGGAATTCCACCCCTCACTTCTGCAAACTTTTCAAAATCTAACAAACAAGGGATGCTGGGGCTCTGATATTGTTTGACTGCTGGAGACACCTTGATACTGAATTTGTCATGAATAGGAAGCCTTCCCAGAGACACAGACCTAAGGAAAAATATATTAAAATTAAGTGAAGGTTCTCAGTTATATTAACAATATCAAATTGCAATCTGCCAGTCAACAACTATTCAAAAACCTATTGTTATCTTTCTTGTTAATGATAATTTTTTTCACTTATCAGCCATTTATCAAAAACCATTATTGAAGCTGCAGGTAAGCAGAATTGTTCTGAATGCTTCACGTCCCCACAACATTCAGCACTTATTCACAGTTGCATGCTTATTTCCTCCAAAAGCTTCTAACCTGGGTTTACAAGGACAATGCTAAACCTAAGAAAGTACAATGTTTCAGAGTGGACAATTACCAGCCTGGCTAAATGATGATAAATCCTAGATGGGTGAATATATCAGTGATAGATCAGAATTGTTCTGAATGCTTCACGTCCCCACAACATTCAGCACTTATTCACAGTTGCATGCTTATTTCCTCCAAAAGCTTCTAACCTGGGTTTACAAGGACAATGCTAAACCTAAGAAAGTACAATGTTTCAGAGTGGACAATTACCAGCCTGGCTAAATGATGATAAATCCTAGATGGGTGAATATATCAGTGATAGATCCCAATGATATTAGGAATTAGCCATGAGAATATAAACAGAAGCAGCACCACCCAGAGGTGAAAACAAGCACTTGAATTTACAAGGACATTTCCAAAATGATAATCTGGGAAAATTCATAACTTCCAAGATGAGAAACTTCACAACTGTTCAATATCAACATCTGCTTTGAGTTGTCAAAGTGAAAGAAACAGAAGTCTAACAGAAACATTTAATCATTATCACAAACAATAGTAGCCTTGCTAAGGGAATAGAAGGGAATACCAGAAGAAAATACAGAGAAAATATTTTATACATGTATGTATTTGTAATACTATGTACCTAATATTTATCATATTTTATAAAATTAGATTTAAAAATAAATAAAAATGAAAAACTAGAATGAAAATTAAATTAAATTAAAAATGTAGCAGGCCCGTGCATGTATGACATGCAAAACAGTACAAAGATGAAATCCCCTTGGTTTAGCAAAACTGATATGAAAGCCTTACACAGCAAAGAATATACAGTACCCCTGTCTAAAACAAGACTTTGGAAAGAGGCCACCTTCTCCCTTAGTCACAGCTCACTATACCAGTATATCACACCATTTAAGTATCTTTGATTTTCTTAAGAATAAAACTACTGAAAGGTGCCTAAAAGCAGAAAAAAGGAGATGCTGAATGGGAAATTGGCCTGAAGGACCAGGCCTGAGCATCAGTGTAAGTACAATGCGGACACATATGACTGTACACAAAAATAGACAACATTTCAGGTTTTTTTGCAGGTCACACTTCAAGCATTAGTATTTAAGAAATATCAAAACACTAGCAAGAAGATTAATTTCATTTCTTTTTTTTTTTAATAATACTTTAATATTTTCTGAGGCACCCCATATATGAAGTATGTAAATAATAAACATTCACTAGAAAAATATTTAGAGCGCTAAATGAAAAAAAAGGTAAAAAGCAAACTACTTGTTTGATGTAATCTATGAAGTTCATGGTACAAAGGAGGTTAGTCCAGCCTAGCATTTTGGTTTCCCAAGGATTTAGAATTTCCCCCTTGTCTTTCAGAAGAAAGAAGTCTGACCATTTTAATCATGCATTTATACTTAGATAAAACTTTTTCTGTTGTTGCATTAAGCAATACCATTTCCATTTAAAGCGCAGTATATACTAAATGTCCTAAAGATACCCGAGCAGTACGTATTGTTTCTTGGAGTTAAAAATACATATTATTCCTAAATAACTAAACTATTACTTAATTTCAGAGCAATACTTAATACTAAAAAAGACAAAACCTGTAATCACATAATATGGCTACAGATTAAAATAAATTCTTTAAAAAGGCAATACACATTAATTAAAGAAAACCTTTTAAGAATCTTTGGGGGTTGACTTAATTTCTTAATCACGGCTTCTAATTTTCTAGGGTTTATTATTTTCTTCGATTTCTTTGTTTTCTTTCTTCTTGGGAAAACAGTGTATTTAATCCCAGCCTTTTGAGGTCGCTCCACAAGAACAATGTCATTCTCACTATCCTCTTGTCTGGTCAAAGTAGGCGGTTTTTCTACTGGTATGTCTGTCTGCATTGACTGAGGGTCATCACAGATTTGATTCAATAGATGCTTGGCAGGGGAGCTTTTCCCAATCTCTGTCTGAACCTCTGGTTCAGCTATCCGTTGCTTCATAACATTCAATTCTTTCATGCTGGTTTGGAAATTAGCTGACACATTTAACATAGTTTCATCTTTGAAAGCAGTCATCTCCAGAGCTGAGACTGATCTTTTAATCAAACTTGTCTGTTTAAAAAAAGGAAACTTAATTTATTCAGATGTTCATTTGAAATAAGATTTATATATCACATTTCCTTAGTTTTAATGGACTGGTTTTTATTTTATACAAAATTGTAAATTAAAAAAAAAATAGCAACATGGAGACCACACTGTTGAAAAGAAAAGTATTTAATGGGAAAAAAGATCTACATACCTCAGGATATGTGTCAAAGCAAAAAGATGAGACATTAATTCAAAGTTATTTGAAGGTCATAAAGGGCTAAAACCAATCTAAAAAGTATCACAAGAAAATTGAATTAAAAACCCCCAGCCCTGGTAGGAAAGTTAAATTTTTAAATCAAAAATGTATGCCACTGGTGGTGACATGAACTCAGAAGAAGAGACAGAAGGATTATGTTTCGAAGTACAATTGTATTATATCGAAACACAGTTAATATCTGAATGGAATTATGCATCCTCATACTTTGTGCCCCCATCCCTGAATTGCCTGACAAAATCAAACCAAAAGAATAATTGTTATCCTCTGGTGTTTAATTGTTTTTAATTATTAAGCAAGTACTATTTGCAATAACAAATGTATTGCTTCTCAGTCTTTTTGTTAATTCCAGTTCACTAACTTGCACTATAACATTAGGCATAACATATCTTTGTCAAAGACATTAGAATGCAATTTCATGTCCACTGCCTGAAATTTACAGAGGGAAACACTTATTAGTAATAAATAAAATAAATGAAAAAAATAAATGAAGTACTGAATAATTTTGAAATTTTTTAAATTAGACTCAAAGCAGCACGGCACTTTTTCAATGCTTGGTTACAGACATCTGTTAAGAATCATTTAATTTATATATTTATTAGAAAGACACTGCATCAGCCTTTAGTTTATTTTAATAATAATTTAAAGCACACCATTTAAGTAATTAAATATCTTTCACTCTTTATTTGTGTCAATGCATTATACCCTGTGAAGTTTTGAAAAGATTAAAAAAAAAAAATCTCAATGTCACAAGTGTGCCACTTTTCCTTAGGGAAATTATTTTATTTATCATTGCATACAAACTGCTGCCATGCTTCACGTCCGTCTTTAAAATAACATGGTCACAACATTTTAAGCAGGTCTTTATGGACTATATAGGAGTTTTAAATAAATAAATACTCCTCAAATCCTTACGCAAAATCAAATTTGTTAATAAAATATTACTTGTATAATGCTATCAAGGTCATCTTTGCACAACAGTAAAATTCGCATGGTTTGTTGCTGCTTTCTGTGTTTTGTGAAACAGCTAACATCACGTCAATAGCCATAAAAGCACATAGCACTTTATAGATCGGAAACTTGACAACATTGATGCCCTGATGTGTCTGAAATCCAAGGATCTGATACTGCAAATCTTTACTCAGAAATGTTCCACTCATTTCAGGTTAGCTAGAGTACAGGCTACTCACACTTATCTCTATCAAAATGCCTGTAAAGTTAACAGGAGTTCACACTGCAGAGCTGTGTTCTCCTACTTAATGTAACCAATCCACTTGAAAAAGACCTTTGAGACACTCGCTTTTGCATCTAATAGGAAAATATTAAGTTCAGTTTAGTAGAAGAATTTCTTCCACAAAATCACAGTTCAGGAACAAATACGAGTAAATATAAAATAATACCTCTGAGCTCCCACTGTCAGAAAAATCGGGCAAGGATTGGCACCTTCGCAGTAAACTTTTTGTCTATATATGAAACAAAAAACAAAGTAAGTCTGAATTAGTCTGAGCCTAATATCAATAGAGCTTTCAGATACATTCTGCTTTTAAAAGCAGAGACTGCCAAAAATAGAGTTAATGTCCAAAGAAATCTGTGTTTTCACCAAAAAAAAAAAAAAAAGCCACCTGTGCCAGAGTGAAGGACTGCATTTGTCTGGATTTCTAGATGTCTTAAACCCATTCCACTGCTAGATGTCCAAAAATCTGAGACACATTCAACGTACTCATATGGATTAATGCTAAAGAGCAAACACAGTCACTGGACATACTCTATATATGTGCTGTATGTAGATGCTCCAATCTCAGAACAGACTGTGAATATCCCATACTGTGGATCACCTAATGAATTTACTGTGTGTATGGAGATGTCTTTCCAATGAACTTGTTTTAAGCTGGACACTTCTCAAAAGTGTCATATTGACTCCATATTAAATGACATCAGTCACATACAGATTCTTATCTTGGGAATCCCAGACAAAAAAATAGCCACATAACATCACCACAACAATAATTTCCAATGAGAATATTACTTCTTCCTGAGAATCTGCATGTGCTTCATCTGTTATTAATTGTTGTTGTTGACCTACTTGTACCATAGTAACAGTATTCTTTTTCAGTAAGAGACATTCCCAATAGGTCCATAAGTAAACATAGAATAAAATATAATACTGTAGTAACTGCAGACTTTATTACTTCCAATTATTATATCTAATGGCCCAGTCAACCTGTAGGCAAAGGACTACCAGCATTTTTCATCTCTGTTGGACAATTCCAAATCAGTTTATAGTTCCATATACAGCTGTAACATCTTTGTGCCTGAAGTCAAACATGATACAAAATCCCAAATAGTTTTCAGCCAAACACAAAATAACTATTTTAAGTTGCTGCTGCCAGAGGATATAGATGTGCAAAGCTGATTGCAGAATTCTCCCTTTTTGACATACTAAATAATATTTTCCTCATTATTTCTAGCCAGCTCCTGCAAGAAACGTTCAAACCAGCAAGTGATCCTTTATCATAATTGAGTTTATCTTTTTGTTCCACTTCCATGTCATCTTCAAGTCACATACTCTTGAATGACATATTCTCTGATAGCCACAGTCACTATTAAAAAAGCTTCTTTCAAGGACAAAAGCAAGTGTGTCTTGCCCAGCATGTTTGTCCTTCAAATAGGAAACACATTATCCAACAGATCTTAACTGCTCTAGTCCAGACTTGCAGATGGAGCCCTAAATTTTAATATAAATAGTGCCTCCAAACACTAAGTTATACCTGGGAGCTCAGCTGCATTAATAATATGCTAATATTATTAATAGTTAATATGCTAATTATAATACTTTGCCCATTTCTGGCTGCAAACACACCCACTCATGCATTAGTTTTCCTCTGTTCCAGCTGAGGTCTCAGCAACATCACCAGCCAGTTCCAAAGTTTCCACTGTGTTTTAGCTACTGGAACACTCGGTTGTACCTCAGATTCTCTGGTAGAGAAATATTTTCAGCTTACTTCCCACAGGAAGATTTGGGTAAGCTTTTACCCACTTCTACCTCTTGGATCTTTTGACTAGAAATAGCTAACCCTATGTAAACACATATAACTGAACACTGTCATTAGGCAGTTCAGGTTCTCTGTGGAGCCCACAGCTCTCATTTCCTACATTGCCTCCATGAACTAGATCAACCATGTTCGAGATAGTCAGGATACTGTCCTGGTTTCGGCTGGGATAGAGTTAATTTTCTTCCTAGTAGCTGGCATAGTGCTGTGGTTTGGATTTAGTAGGAGAAGAATGTTGATAACACGCTGATGTTTTTAGTTGTTGCTGAGTACTGCTTATGCTAGTCAAGGACTTTTTCAGCTTCCCATGCTCTGCCAGGCGCACAAGAAACTGGGAGGGGGCACAGCCAGAATAGTTGATCCAAACTGACCAAAGGGCTATTCCATACCACATGACGTCATGCTCGGTATATAAATTGGGGGGGGTTGGCCGGGGAGCAGCGATCGCTGCTTGGGAACTGTCTGGGTATCGGTCGGCGGGTGGTGAGCAATTGCATTGTGCATCACTTGCTTCGTATATCATTATGATACTGTTACTATTATCATTACTATTTTACTTTATTTCAATTATTAAACTGTTCTTATCTCAACCCAGGAGTGTTTCTCACTCTTACTCCTCCGATTCTCTCCCCCATCCCATCAGGGTAGGGGGAGTGAGCGAGCGGCTGCATGGTGCTTAGTTGCTGGCTGGGGCTAAACCACAACAGTCATATTACTCAAAACCTGTTATTTATAACGTAAGTCTTCCCCTAAATCATCACCTCATGCCATAATGCAAAATAAGAAGCATCTTTAAAACATGCAATGACTCTTTCCAAGCACAGTCTCAAGTTTCAAAAAGTCAGATTTAGCATTTTCTATCAAAAAATGAACAAATATCTAACAAAATTGTTTCTAGAAGTCAACTATATAGAAATATTTTGTCTTATGACTAGATCTTCAAACTATGAATTGTTTTGCTAATCTTAATTTTTACATATTTTAAATTTTTAAAAAATTGTACCGTAATACACACCAGTCCATAATCAAAGAAATCATTATTATCTTGCTCAGCTTCTAACTCTTCTTCATGATTAGTGAAAAAGTCTTCAAATACAACATCCTCAATAACATTGCCCTGAAATATTAATATTTGAATATGTACAATACTATTATTTTAGTCAGCTATAGAAAACATAGTGACAGATAAATAAATAAACTCTATAACATATTTGAGCTAAAGATTTATGACGACCGAGACCAACACCACAGAAGCCATTTATCCTAGGCTTCCGATGGAGCACATTCTTTAATGTGATCAGGAATTACATGGTGCAAAAGGGGCAGAGACCTGAGGAAACTGATTATTGCTACCTGATTCTCTAAAGTTTTTATCTTTAGCTTTGGTAATTTATGTCAGGTCACAGTAGTCCATATAGTAACAAGAACACAGCACTCAATTTGGTCAGAGTAAGGCTAGGAGATGGGGAACTATGTCAGGTTTATTCCTGCTATCAATTAATCCATGCGTAAGTGTGCTTCATCTCTTGCACAGGAGAGTGAACTGGTCATGAAATGCTAGTTTATCTGTAACCTTTGCCATATGAAGGTGCAGAGTGCTACAAATAAGGGCATACAATAGGCATGAACAGCTCATCTCTCACAATAATGTAATCATATGGAGATTATACATTCAAAACATTTCAAAACTCAGAAACATTGGCACTTTCTAAAATGGACTTTGTTAAATATATGAAATATTTTATTAAGTTTTAATAGAAATCACTGCCAGCATAGCGTTGCAGAAGAAAAACTATGCAAAAGTAGCTTTCAGCATAAATGTAAAGACATTAAGCAAGATAATATAATAGCAAGTGGTAATTAAGAGTAATTACTACCAGAAACTTTATGACAGTAGAAAACTAAACAATACTATTCAATACATATTATTACAAATTGTACAATGACTTATATACTGTGCTTACAATATACAGAACTATTGATAAGATAGTATAACTATTACAGTTAATAAATGTAGTGTTAGAAAAAGACGTATATTTCTGCAAAAGATGGGAACACTAAAAATACATTTAAAATATTTACCTCAAACGTAGGAAATAAAATTTCTTGTAATGAAGAAATTGGAGCAGAGAATTTTGGTGGAGCTGGAGCCCAAAACATTTTTAAAGCTTCTGGATAAATGCAAACCTTCAAAACCAACACAATTCCATTATCAACTAACATAACCCCAGTTTATAAATGTCTGTACTGAATCTGAATTATTAGGTGATAAAATGCTGTTTTCTGCTAAACATGATTTTGTCAAAAACAACCCCACCAAATACAATAGAATCCTGATATAGGGTTCCACAGCCTGAATGAACTACCTACTTTGCTCTTTTAGTGGTTTTGTTTGTTATTAATTAGCACATTAGCATATTTTATTACTTCAGAGAAGGAATTAAGAACCGAGACATGAAGTTTCAGAACAACACTCCCTATTGATGAAAAACTCCATATACATTTTTTATATTGCATATTGTCAAATGTTGAAAAATCAGCAGAAATTTATTTCCAAGGTGTTCTGTTCTTTTGTTGCATGACACAATAAAAATAAAAAAAACCCCCACACCACCACTTCTTTTCCCCCTGGATTTTATGTCTTCATTTGTAGGATTGTGCACATACAACACACATTTATTAAAATTATTTCTTACTTTCTCTCCTAACAGTTGCAGTTGTGGCTTTTTAAGACAATATTCAGCTACTTTTCGGCATTCAGTTAGACTTTTTGATGTAACAGGGGGAAGAAAGTGAATCCCATCTGTCCGATTATTCTGGAATTGTTCTGAAATAGGAACTCCTTCATAACAAATTCTGCAGCAACATAAAAGATGAATAAATTACTCTGATTATGTCAGGTATTAACAGCACAGAAATAGCTAGGTTGTTAAAGACAAAAAAAATCAGGTAAAAAATTTAAATCAAATTAGAAATAAATGAAGAATAAACCTTTTTTCCCCCTAAAGACTGAAATTACTTAATATACAATAGAAACCTCATGCCAAACTTGTAATTTCTGCAGTCACACACCAAATAAATTTTAAGCAGACTTTTATGATCAGGTCCATGGTGTATATTACAGAAGTCACAAGAAAAGTATAACGCTAAGCTCTAAATTAGTATGAAATGCATTACATGCATAACTTCATGCATGGTAAATACATCACTCAAGTGCTGCGCTTACAGTCAGATATACTTA